TCTTTTGATAAACCTCCCTACGATCTTGGTCATAAGTCTCAAACTGGTCTCAATTTTTTCTGATAAATATCCCACGATCTTGGTCATAAGCCCTGAACTTGTCTCAGTTTCTTCTAATAAACCTCCCCACAATTTTGGTCATATGCCACGAATTGGCCTCTGTTTTTTCTTTAATCAAGTCTTTTGCTTGAAAAGGGTAACAATAAACAAGCTCCTAAAAGGGTAACCATATAAGGACTTTGCAACTAATTTTCTCTATCATACCGAAGAGATTAACCATCCATTGGAGAAGATATAAAACAACGAACTATCTCTGTCACACCAAAGAGATTAACCATCCATTGAATAAGATAAAAAATCAACGAACCATCTCTATCATATAAAAGAGATTAACCATCCATTGGAGAAGATAAAATTTCAACAAACTATCACTGTCATATCGAAGAGATTAACCATCCATTGGTGAAGATAAAAATCATTGAATTATCTCTATCATATTGAAGAGATTAACCATCCATTTGAGATGATAAAAATTCAACGAACTATCTCTATCATATCAAAGAGATTCACCATCTATTGGAGAATATAAAAATTCAATGAACTATCTCTATCATATCGAAGAATTAACCATCCATTAGAGAAGATAAAAATTCAACGAACTATCTCTATCATATCGAAGATATTAACCATTCATTGGAGAAGATAAAAATTCAATGAACTATATCTATCATATCGAAGAGATTAACCATCCATTGGTGAAGATAAAAATTCAACAAACTATCTCTATTATATCAAAGAGATTAACCATCCATTCGAACATGAATTTTTGACACTTAATGAGATTTTCAATATTTACAACTTTGCCCTTTTTACAAGTAATCTCCAATTTTGTGGTTTCCCTTGACCAAATTCACATATCAATCACATTTTCATGAAATTTAATTTGGGGAGCCCATATTTGACCAAAAATATCAAAGTCAAAGTTTGACTCTAGGCAGTTGACTTTTCCAGATGAATTCAAATCTTCCAATTTCAAAGGAATCTTGTGATCATAATGCAATCCTTAGCATGCTAGGATATCCTTGAAGTCAATGAGATGATGATATGATGAATCCTTGAGTGATACACAATCGAAGACCTCTTTCTCCAACACACATATCTTGTATAAGAAACAAACACAATAAGACAAACCTTTGCATTTTTATGAGGTTAGTGATGTATAGATGAATGATATGATTTCTAAATGATGCAAAAGGACGTGGGATCTTAGGTAAAAATTTATGGTACAACATATGAACCTATTTAAATTTCTTCTATATGGAGATATGAAGATTATAATCTTCGTTTCAACGCAATGACAAATACTTAAACATAAAACACACAAATTTTTGGTCCTAAGATGCCACGAAGATGTTTTGTGATATGATATAAATATAAGATTCTGACCTCCATGAGGAATAACAAAAAACACAACCAATTAGGGGATAAATAATAGAAACACCCTAGTCCAATTTAGAAGAAGGGGTCCAACTCCACTAAGGAAAGATTAACTTAACTCCGCTGGAGAAAAGAGACTCAACTCTATTGGGAAAAAGCCAAAAGAAGAGAAAAAGAAAATAGGATAACACTATCTCAATACGCGAGAAGGATAACACCGACTCATAGATAACGGTAAACTGCCAACTCAATAGGCAAAGGTAGGATAAACAAGAGATATACCGACTCAATAGATGATGGTAAACTACCAACTCAATAGATGAAGGTAGAAAAGTGAGGAATATACCGACTCAACAGATGACTGTAAACTACCAACTCAATAGATGAAGGTAAGATAAACAAGAGATATACCAACTCAACAGATAACGATAAACTACCAACTCAATATATGAAGGTAGAATAAGCTTCCAAAATGGATTTCAGCTTCTTCTTTTAATCAAGTCTTCCACTTGAAAAGGGTAACAATAAACCTCCCCACAATCTTGGTCATAAGCCACGAATTGGTCTCAGTTTCTTCTGATAAACCTCCATACTATCTTGGTTATAAGCCTTGAACTAGTCTCAGTTTTTTCTGATAAACCTTTCACGATCTTGGTCATAAGCCTCAAACTGGTCTAAGTTTTTTCTGATAAACCTCCCCACGATCTTAGTCATAAGCCTTGAACTGGTATCAATTTCTTCTGATAAACCTCCCCACAATGCTGGTCATATGTCAGGAATTGGCCTCATTTTTTTCTTTAATCAAGTCTTTCGCTTGAAAAGGGTAAAAATAAACAAGGTCCTAAAAGGGTAACCACATAAGGACTTTGCAATGAACTATCTCTGTCATACCGAAGAGATTAACCATCCATTGGAGAAGATAAAAATCAATTAACTATCTCTGTCATACCAAAGAAATTAACCATCCATTGAAGAAGATAAATAATCAACTAACTATCTCTATCATATCTAAGAGATTAACCATCCATTGGAGAAGATAAAATTTCAATGAACTATCTCTATCATATCAAAGAGGTTAACCATCCATTGGTGACGATAAAAATTCAATGAATTATCTCTATCATATTGAAGAGATTAACCATCCATTGGAGAAGATAAAATTAAACGAACTATCTCTATCATATCGAAGAGATTAACCATCCATTGGAGAAGATAAAAATTAAATGAACTATCTCTATCATATCGAAGAGATTAACCATCTATTGGAGAAGATAAAAATTCAACGAACTATCTTTATCATATCGAAGAGATTAACCATCCATTGGAGAAGATAAAAATTCAATGAACTATCTCTATCATATCGAAGAGATTAACCATCCATTGGTGAAGATAAAAATTCAAAAAACTATCTCTATCATATCGAAGAGATTAACTATCCATTTGAACATGAATTTTAACACTTAGTGAGATTTTCAACATTTTCAACTTTACCCTTTTTGTAAGTAATCTCCAACTTTGTGGTTTCTCTTGACCAAATTCACATATCAATCACATTTTCATGAAATTTAATTTGGGGAGCCCATATTTGACTAAAAATCTCAAAAGTCAAAGTTTGACTTTAGGTAGTTGACTTTTCCAAATGAATTCAAATATTCCAATTTCAAAGGAATATTATGATCATGATGCAATCCTTAGCATGCCAGAATATCCTTGAAGTCCATGAGATGATGATATGATGAAGCCTTAAGTGATACACAATTGAAGACCTCTTGCTCCAGCATACCTATCTTGTATAAGAAATAAACACAATAAGACAAACCTTTCTATTTTTCTGATGTTAGTGATATATAAATGAATGCTATGATTTCTAAATGATGCAAAAGGAGGTGAGATCTTAGGTAAAAAATTATGGTACAACAATTGATAATGATGATGTGTCACTATTACATTTACAAAATTTTATTTTAGATAGTTTTTGAAGTTTATAATGATTTTAATGATATTAAAAATAACATAAACTAATTAATAATAATAACTTAGTAAATGTCCAAATATTGCATCATCTTCCCCAATTATAAAACCCTAACCTCATAGTTGCATCTTATTCTCAAAATAGTCAAACCATAAAATCCTCAACAACTCACGCGTTTACCCTCAACAACAACTTTACTCATCTTTTATTTCAACCTTCTTCTTGCTTCATCATTCCTATAACCCCAATAAAATTCAAGAATGACCCATTTCTCAACCTTCGACTCACTGTTTTTAAAAGCTGACCGCTTTTTCCATGCCGCTTACTTCCTCTGGCGACATAAATGTGTACTTTTCCACACACTTTACTTGTTCATCAAATGAGTGACCCGTTGAGTTTAGCCCCAAAAGTTTTGGTTTTGATAGTTGACCATCACCATAATTGATACTTTCTAATTTATTCAAGTCATCCCTGCTTTGGGTTTTGGTCATTGAAAACATTATTGAGAGTGATTTCAGGTTTATTTTCTGTTTCAAAAATTTCTTCACACATTTGGTTATTATTGAAATGGATTGGAATGATAAATAAAATACCAACTTAATAAGAATCTTGACTAAGATTTGCACGACAAACAAGACATGTGACATAAGAAGCTATCCATGAATCAACGCATTGAAGGTGAAAAACAATGTTGCATTTGAGGAAGAAGATACAACCACGAGGTTAGAGTTTTAAAATTAGGTAAAATAAAACGATCGAGACATTATACTATTTTTGATATCGTTAACATAATTATCAACTTAAAAAATGACTTGAAATAAAATTTAATAAACGTGACAATGATTGGTCTCAAATTTGAAAGAGACGAAAATTTTTAAGAAAAAAACAAAATGAAAAGATCAACAAAATTGAATTTTAAAATAAAATATCAAAATTTAATAAAAATAAAAATAAAAAACTAAATTTTAATTAAACCTTTAATTTTTAATTTTAAAATATGCATTTCTAGGTTTTTTAAGATAAATAATATATATTTTTTCATTATCACATTATAAAAAAAATGACATATACCACAATTTTATCTAATAACAAACCTAAAAATTGCAAGTATAAATGATAGTGTTTATGCCATTTGCAATTTCCCCAAATAAACCCTCTTTCCTAAACCCACAAAAGAAGGGTCCGAACCGGGTTGAGAAAAAACCCAACGGAAACGTGTGATGAATTATGAAAACGGGCAGCACCGATCGCCATAACGGAACCACGATCTCTGACCATTCTCACTCTCCGTCAGATCTCGCTCGTTCTTTGATCCTAGCCTAATCTTCCGAAGAAGAACGAGCACAACAGTATACACGAACTCCGATTCCAAAACCCTAGAATCCAACGTTCCCGTCCGATATCAGGTTCCAATCACCGGATACACTTTCTTGCATTTTCCGAGCATCCTCTTCAGTTGTCACGGTAAACGTGCTAGTTCGTTTCTGATCCTGATCGACCCGTTTCCACATTTGGCTTTGATTTCGCAGTGTGATCGGTTGTGAGGTTTTAGTTGACTTTCATGCTGTTTGAAGAAACTTTCGAGTGAGAAATGCAGCGTGCTCCCGTTACAGTTGAGGAACAGTTGTTGCAAAAAGCGATTAACGAAGAGTGTCCATGGGAGAATCTACCGAAGCGGATTCAAGCTACTCTTTCTACCAAAGACGAATGGCACCGAAGGTTAGCGTCGTTTCCGATTCTTTTAAGCAGATTATTTACTTCCTGCTTTATCGGCATTTTGTAATAATTGAGTCTTAGTAAGTAGTAGCAGGGTTTTAAAATACCGTCCGATCGCATAAAGGCTTTTGCGATTTCGGTCCGGTGTCACGGCACTGATTAGATCGTGGCGATGTGAATTAACTATAATTTGTTTTTCAATATAAAAACAGAGATAACTGCTGATACCGTTTTGTCGCGGTCATTTTGGCAGCCGGGACCATTTTTTAAAACCCCGAGTAGCAGTTATCTAAATTAAGTTGAAGATGTTTGAGGAGTGAACTTTGTGTTCCAATGAGTAGTAGTGGAAAATGAAGAATGATACGGGTTTGAGTTTAGAGCTCTTCTGTAGCTATTGAGACAGCATTTCTATGTTGTTCAAATAGGTCGGAGAGGTTTTGGCAGTGACTTGTGTATTTTTTGTAATAATTTGTTGTGGCAGTCGTCTTGTCTTATATTACATAAATCTCTTTTTTTTGTAATAACTGTACTTGTGTATAGTGTTATTTTCTGTAGTATGTTTAAATACATTGTTTGAAATGTGCAACACATTGTTATTGGGCTCTTTTCATCGTTTATATGTGCGGTTGTTAGGTGGTATTACTGTTACACTTGGCTTTGCATGATATGTCAATGCAACTAAGGTACTGAGCTAGCTAGTAAAAAATGAAGCTTTTCTTGCGTAATGACACACAGGAGTTAGTGTATCACGCTCGACCCTTTAGGGTAGATTTGGAAGAAGGATTTTTGAGGGCTACAGTTTTCAATCACACTTAATTTGTTTTTTAAAACATTTTATAACTTCCTTATTTAGAAAAGCAAAATAAGCATCCCCTCCAAGTCCCCACCCCCCACCCATTCAAACATACCCTTAATCTTCAAGTATGTGGTCTTATGCCATCTTATTTATTTCAGGTGGATTGGTGATCCAGTGAAAGATCAAATCTCTAAGACCATGATCACTAGTCACAACCTAATCTTAGCAATTGTGATTGGTTACAGAGTACTTGCAGAGTTTCAATCATAGAAAACATATCTCTTAGATAACCGTAGGATAGAATGAATTTGCACTTGAATGGGGTAACTTTTGATTTTGAGAGGCTATAGTGTATTCAACAAGAAATTTAAGAAACGATAACTTTTGTGAGCTAATTTTCAATGAGAAATAGTATTTTAGTTTGTATAATTTAGTATATATCTAGAGTGCTCTACATTTTGCTTATTTCAAGGTTATTGTGTTAATGCCTTGGAAATAAGTTTTTTAGATACATATTCTTAATATGCTTTTTCTTTTTGCCGGATATGGGAATTACATGCAGGATAATCGAATGCTGTATAAAGAAGAGGCTTCAATGGAATAGCTGTTTTGCCCGGAAAGTTTGTAAAGAAAGTGAATATTATGAAGATATGATGCGTTACTTGCGCAGGAATCTTGCTGTATGTTGTGTAGAGAGGGCTCTGTGACCCTTCTTTCTGAGCATATATATCAAATACATTATTCACTGATCAGAAAACTTGGATGCTAGGAAATTTTTGGGAGAAAATTGAAGTTTTATTGCTTCACAACCAAAGTTGGAATTAAAAACTTGTCTCTGATGGTTCTCTTTTTCCATAGGATTAGTTTTGATAAGTAATAAATAAATTAACCATATTATATTATTATTTTCTATAACAAAGAACTCATATGCAATTTCGCATCCTTAATGAATGACATATTTAACTGCTAGAGGACCAATGTATGGATGCTGGGCAGTAACCTTATGATTTGATTTTTGTTGCTTGGCATATGCATTTAATGTGGTTGTTTCTTACTTGCAGCTGTTTCCTTATCATCTGGCGGAGTATGTTTGCCGTGTAATGAGGGTGTCTCCTTTCAGATATTATTGTGATATGATTTTTGAAGTAATGAGAAACGGTAATTTGCTTGTTGCATTTCTATGTATATTCACCATGCTGGTCTGGATTTATTAACCAGGTTTGTCTAATGGTAGCTTGCTTGTTGCATAGTATTTGTATGAATATTTTTTACTGCGAGTTCATCTGTAACTTTTAAATGGCTGGAACTAGAAGAGTTAGCTAGCCATTTACATTATTCTTTAATTGAAATTTGTGTATGTAATGAAAAATTACGGATTGAGAGTGAGACATATATTTAATGTAATGCTGATTTGTGAAAACTTTCTAAAGGAAATGCCTATTGAAATTGTGGAATTTTAGATGAAAAAAGGAGAGAAATTATAAGAATTTGAATGTTATTGATAATAGTTTGATACTAAACTTGATGCAAAAGACTAAACACCAATCCCTATTTAATGGGATACATACTCTCTATTTAACTAAATAGAGAAATTAGGAAACAAATCATAACAATACAACAACAATCAAGCCTTATTCCATTAACCGAGGTCGGCTATATGGATCAAATACCATACTATTGTCCTGTTCATTAATCTCGAGATCTTTCTTAATAGTTTCTCTTAAAGTTTTTCCAGGTCTTCCTCTACCTTTAGGGGTTTGACTACCTTCCATTTGATTTACTCTCCTCACTATAGAATCCACTTTTCTTCTTTGTACATGCCCAAACCATAACAATAAGTAATCGAAATTTAAAAACTAATCTTAAAAGATGATCTAATATGCTCTAAAGTGATATAAAAGATATAATAAGATATTTTCTAATATTTTAACAATATCTATTAATGAGGTAAGCGCTTACAGCAGGATGAAAGTTAATTAGTAGCTGCAGTAATGAGTGCATATGGGGCAGTAGAAAGCTAAATCACATGTGTTGAAAATTGGGTATGAAGAAGTGATTAGATGCTTGAGAGTTAAGAGTATATCTATTGAACCTGATGTGGATCCACTTGAAATATCGAGAATGAATTCATCTGAATTGCGTGAGAGACTAAACCCTCAGCCTTGTGTAGTACTGTAGTTACGTTCAAGATCTCCAAATTATAGGGATAAGAATAAGAGTTAATATCAGAAAGTTGTAAACATAATATCTACATAACAGAAATAAAGGAAAGTAAATCAGGACAATATCTCAACAAATCCGAGAACCAAATTAGCACATTTAAAAATTGATAGCAGGACAGAGTCAAGTGATCCGTGGGACAAGGTGAGACCGGGTCTTGATAGAGGAGGAGATTGTTGAATATGTATTTGTGTTGTTGAAGTTTGTTTGAAATTCCACATTGCTTAGGTTCTCGGGCTGTTGATTGTATAAATGTGAGGGTAACCTCACTATTTGAGCTAGCTTTTGGAGATGAGATCCAAGCATATTTAACATGGTATCGGAGCTGGTTTAAGTAGTCCAATGTGGGCATTTGACCCAGGCCTACGCAAGGCGTGAGAGTGAGTGTTGAATATGTATTTGTGTTGTTCGAGTTTGTTTGAAGTCCCACATTGCTTAGGTTCCCGGACTGTTGAATATATAATATGTGAGGGCAATCTCACCTTTTGAGCTAGCTTTTGGGGATGAGATCCATGCATATTTAACAGAGACAATGAATCAAATGGGGGCAACGGTGACTTGAAATGTCGGGGGGACACACCCTCAAGTGTTGGTAAGCTAATAAAACTTCGATGATTGGTACCTCTGTACCGGTTAATCTAGACATGCCACAGCTGATGGAAGTGGCATGAGCTGTGAGGTGAAATGTACATTGGCAAGAGAGATGACAGAGGAGGGATAGGTGTGGTGGAGATAGGGAGAAGGAGACAAGAGAGATGATGACTAGAAGGAATGGAATAATCCTGAAATGCACATTGACAAGAGAGATGACAGAGGAGGGATAGGTGTGGTGGAGATAGGGAGAAGGAGACAAGAGAGATGATGACTATAAGGAATGGAATAATCCTGGAAACAATGCTACTCCATATTTCATATAACTTAGTAGTTGAGTTATTGAGGATGGTACCCCTTGAAATTATAAGTTATTTAGATGGAGAAGGACGGAATTAAGACATATGGACTGTGAATGATTTGAAATTGCTACTGATCCTTAGTTATACTAAAATTAGGACACCTATTTAAATTAGAAAACAATGAAATATAATAAAATATGGAAACCAATTGTATGAGATCATCTAAGATGCTCTTAATATTTACATATTATGATGCAATAATAATACTACCCGTGCCCCTACATGTGACACTCCTTCGATACATTAATACAAATTTAGAATTAATGTTAACTTGAGCTGTGACATTAAGTTTGTTAACAATTTGTATTATGTTTCCAAAATTACCTTATAGTTATTGGTAAGGGATGACTAATCAGGTCCTTTTCAGCCCACCGCTCATCAACCTGTTATAAACGGGTCAGGTTGACTTAGCTAGGTGGGTGGAAAATCCCACTCTGGCACAGGTTGGCGGTTTAACCCGTGAACGAAAAAAATGCAATAAAAACATATAGAAGAAGACATTGAGTTTTAGGATGGCTGACTTGCAAAGAATAGTCTAAATATTCGGTAAACTATAAAAATTCATATAATTAATAGAATAGTAAAAACAATCCATTGAGCAAACCGCTCTGCCCCCCTTTTCAATGGGTTATATGGTGGGTCAAGATGGGTTGACAATCCCAACCTGCTCCGCCAAAAGACGGGGTGAACTGGTCAACACAATGGGTCCAACCCATTTTGCAACTACTCATTATCTAACTCTCCATGAAATTATTTATGTATTGAGATTCGTCATTCCACCTCTTTTGCAAATCCTCACAAGAGGTGATGAAGTGATTAAGCATATTTTGGTAAAAAAAAAAAAATTACTTCAAAAGAGAGTTTGGAGAAGGTTATTAAAGGGACACACAAATTTTACAAAATAGAAGGGTCTTATATATAGGGACGAAAGTAGTATTTGGCATTATGTTTTTACATATTTCAACAGCTTATGCCATTGAGTCTGATGCTAGTTTACATATAATGGAGGTGTAGATGATGATAATTTTATTTGATTTTATTTAACTATTGATTGTTGTATTTACATCACCACAATTTCTTTGTCTATTGGAATTTATAATTATTAAGGAACTTGATCTTTTACTTGTACTGGCTTCCTTGTGTAATAAATGTCTAACCACTTCCTGCATGTTTTTATAATTTGCAGAGCAACCATATGACAGCATCCCAAATTTTAGTGCAGCAGATGCTTTAAGACTTGCAGGAATTGGGAGAAATGAATTTATTGATATAATGAACAAGTGCAGATCTAAGGTACTGGTTAAATTGACTGTATGGCTTACCTAAAATATTTTTGGCTTGAATTTCCTATATAATTAATTATAAGATAATTTGCATGTTTTTGTTTCATTCCTTGTTGAAGTCATAGTACCAATAATACCTTCTAAGGTTTATTTTTTCTTGGCAGCAAGAGTTTGATTCTAGATATATTAAACCAAATTCGTTTATCGACCATCTAATTAATTTGACACTTCTGGAAATGACTTTGTTATGATCCTGCAAAAGCTGTCATTAAGGTTTGTAGGCTAAGCAACTGACATTTTTGAAATCAAATTTCTTAGGAGGGTTCATTTGTATGTAAATTTTTCATCGGTATTTGATGTGGAATTGGAAACCTGGATAATTAGGGAAGTAAAGGGAAAAGCTGAACTTTTTGAAGAGAAGATATTTTGTAGAGAAGAGAGAAAGTTTTGAAGGAGAAAGATTGGTTCCCTTGTTAGTGCAATCACATGTCTTTGACCAGGCTTTCATTCCTGTCGAATTTGAATTTGATTTCCTTGACTTGACCTGAATTAGTCATGTCTGAAACTGGATAATGATTTCTTAAACATCATTGAATATCTTTAGCTTCATAAAGTTAGATTCTTATTGCATATAAAGTTCTTCTGCCTTATGATTTAGTTTAGATGTAATACCTAGGATATGTTTGTATTCGTCCACATAGGTAATGTAAATCTGCTGAGTGTCTCGCAAGCAATTAAAGCACGGGCAGTTTTTATGTCATTTTCAATTAATTTCATGTCTTTTTTCTCTGACCTTTCATGTCCTATTTTTGAATATTCAGAAAATCATGTGGAAACTGAACAAATCAATTGCAAAAGAACTCTTGCCTACACAACCTGTAGATTTTCTTATTGAATCTTGGTGGGGAGTTTGTCTGGTGAACTTTACGTTGGAAGAATTTAAGGTGAGGCCTGAATCACCCTTACTAAATGGAGGCGGGTTCACTTACAATAATGTTGTTCACTGTGTTGATTTGTCACTGCGAATCAATTATGGTATTCCCTTGGCGAATTTTTTATGTTAATCTTTTTTGCCTTGTCCTTTTCCTTTATAGAAACTCTCTGAAGAGGAAGTTGCCACTATAGACAAAATATGTAAGGAGGAAGCAAATTCATTTATCCTGTTTGATCCTGAAGTTATAAAGGGTCTCTATAGACGTGGATTGATCTATTTTGATGTTCCAGTGTATCCAGAGGATCGGTTCAAAGGTGTGTTTTGTGTTAATGTTTAATTCTAGGTTTTACTTTCCTAAAATCATTTTCCTATGAATGATACCTAAGCAACTAAGTTGTCCCTAATGCATTATAATCTGAAGGCATGCTTGGGGGAAATATATTACAGCAAATCAGAGTTCTTGATCAATTCATTTTTGTCTGTTTAAACTTTTGAGGAACCCGTACTTTTACCGACCCAACTTGACCATAGTGGTTCCCCTAAAATTAAAACTAAACTGTTTTGTGTATGGTTTCACAACTGAACTAAGCCAAACATTATCGGGTGTTGGTTTTTAGTTGATTAGTTTCAATACAGTTAATTTGTTGTTTCAGAGTCAGTTTTGCCCACAAGTAGATTATCTGTTGTAAGTGTTGTAAGTGATTGACTAAATCTATCCAAATCAACTCAGAGGCCGCAAAGTATGTTTGATGTTCAATTTTGCAGTAATGTGCTAACACAGTTGACAATAATTAAGCATAAATGACTAACATGAATAGAATATACCATATCAGTAGGAAAAACCCTCAAATAGATCTAAAACTTAGCAAGATTTTGCATTTCCACAGCTATGAAGCCTTCAGGCCTAGAAGAAGTTGCTAGACATGATTTCAATGCTCAGTCACAGGTCTAAAGCAACGAAGACATTTGGCGAAGCATCTAAACATCGACTACTATATCACAGCTTCAAAGAAAAGCCAGAGATTGGTGAGACAAAGTAGAGAAAAAATTAGACAGACAGAGAGAGAGAGAGGTTGAGAAAGAAATAGGGTTAAGGGGAAGGAAATAGTTGAAACTTGAAGATGGGGGGAAAGAGAGTCTTAGACAGAGGTGAGAGAACTAGAGGAAGGAAGAGTGAGATGCTCAGCTTTGAGGGTATAGCCTTGCAAAACTAGTCTTGCGTTGTATCCGCAATCATGGAACTGGAACCCAACATGAATTTTCTGACTTTCTTCCCATGTAACTGACAAAGGTTTCTGAGTGAAGGCAACAACTTAATATCAAGGGGTGGCCCCTGAACTACATCTAACTTTTGGTAAGACCCTGAAGAAGATCAATTATCATCTCCTTTTTCAGCATTTCGTCATAAAACAACTTGTTGAAATATTTCTGCAAAATAGTAGAATAGATCAATTTCTTGCTAGAATTCAATCAAAAAAATATTAGCATTCATTGACAGGCCTATTGCCCTGCCAAATGTTATGAAGGGTGATTGCAGTCCAAAACACTGTTCATAATTTTGGAGTCTTGCAGAATAGGTATTAGGTAGGCTTGGCCAATTTTCAGATCCATAAGTTTTATCGCTCAAGCCCTATACATTGGTTTTCAGCATCCTTGATTTTTAGGATGGATATTTTGTTGTGCATGGTTTGAATGAAAGAGTTAAAGTCAGCAGTTGGATGGAGCCATGGAAGTCGAGTTCGGGATAATTGCTGACTTGAGTTGTCTGTGTTTTAGTCTAGGCTGACGGAAAATCAGTGCCGATACCTTATATTCTGAATATGTAGAGTATGATTCCACTAGTTCTTTATTCAGATTTCAGATGATAAAGGTACAATATAAGTAAAAAAAAAAACACAAAATTGATCAGTACTTAGAATCATGTGGGAAAAGCTAAACTAGGAACAGCCAACAGAAAGTAAAATTAGGTAATTCACCTCTCCTTAGTCGTTATAATAGAAGGGTTCTGTATGTTTCATGATTTTTGGGATTTCTTTCCAACTATATTATATATTCTACATTTTAATTAAAAACTATGTTTAAATGGTTTAAGTGACTTTTTATATTTATTGTGTTTCAGTGTCAAGGCTTGAAGGTTTTGTATCCAACAGGGAGCAGTCTTATGAAGATCCTATTGAAGAGTAGTGCATTTTGCTCAAATTATTTTCATACATTTATTCCAAATATTGTGCTAAAAAGTTTCTGGAAGTAACATGGTTTCTTTATCTTTCAGGTTATTGTATGCAGTTTTTGTTGTTTCAAATGAAAATGCATCTGTTGCGGAATTGGCAACAACCCTACAGGCTGACTTGTCACAACTGCAGGCTGCTGCATCATTTGTATGTCGATTGGGATGGGCAACAAAAGTTATTGATCCATCATCTATTCTTCAAGATACAAGTATACCTGGGTCTCCAAGAAGTGCAGTTAGTGATGAAGATGTTTCTCTTGCTCGTCATGGTTTTGACAATATCCATATTGATAATGATATTCAAGCGGATGCTTCGGGTTCAAGCAACCATGGTCCTCGTTCGGCCTATACCTGTGTTGCCTTCATAGTTGATGCCAACATAACATCCTATCTTATGATGGGTTCTGTTTCACCAGGTTTATACTTTATTCTTCATGATTCCACTTCTTGCCTCTTGAATCCATTTGCTAAAATATCATTGTTGAAAAGTCTGTTATGCTGACATAAAATGTCATACGAAACCATCACTAAGGTTTTTTTGGACCTTTTTATTGATTGTTTGGATGAACGAGCTGTATTTTTAATTATCTTTGATGTATATGCTTGTAATTACTAACCAGCATCTGTATGTAATCCTGGCATTCTTATTTTATAATGCATTTTAATCTGTTGCAACTCAATCTCTACCTATATTTTTTGGACCGTTACCATTAGCATTCTTTAGGTGATTTTTGAATTTTTTTTCCTACATTCTCCTCTCCCTCTTGCTTAGTCTTCAATTTTTTTTATGCAATTGTTCAGTAATGAACGATCTTTAAGCTTCCTACATTTCTTAGCTAAATTACAATGCCTAATTTTTGGATGCAATTGTTCAACAATGAATGTGTTGGTTTATTACAATACCTAAATTATTTTTTCGAGCCTTGTTTTTTGTAGACTAAAACAATCTGACAATGATTTGGTGAGTTTTTTTTTTTTTTTTGAAATTCTAGAATTATTTAGAAGAGATTAGTAAATAAGCCGGAAGAGCTTTGATATTACAGTCTGGCAGCATCTGAAATAGTTTTATTACAGTATTGAGACAGCTTTACAAAATCTACAAAATCTGTAGGATTTTGCTCGGGTTTGCTTTTTGATTTTTTTGTTTGAAAATAAAATGTAGCAGATAGATAGTAAGAGGGAGTGTGCAACTTAATGGAGACCTCCAAACATGAGGCTTGGGAGATCAAAGGACATATGAGAAAATGTACAAAAAATATAACAAAGCTGCTCAATCCTTAATACATGTTCAAGTGGAGACTAGGTTGAAGCAATCATCAGCTGAATACACATTGTTGAAATAGTCATCATCTGAACACCAGAATAGCCATAAAACTCTATCTCAAGTTGAGAGCAAAGAGAGACACTCCTAAATTTTAATCCTAAAAATGTACCAAATGATTGTGTGAAACGCCCATGGCAACAGGGTTCTTACCTCCTTTTTGCCAAAGCCTTGAAACCTGAGCATTCGTGTTTGAGACTATGCACAAGATCCAAATTCTTAAATCAATTAATAAAAATTGAGCCCAATCATGAATTTTAAGTTTATGTGATTAGAACTTTTTTTATCAATTAATAAATCCACGTGTGTTTTGTTCTATGCTAAAGCAGTATAGTTGTTCTTTTTGTCTATTCATTTATGTGTTAGTTTGCTTATATCATTGATTTGTTTGGTTCTATTTGTCTATAGTCTGAACGAAACTATTCTTCTGGCTGAACTTTGTCAGGTCTTAAATCTCATGCTGTTACGCTCTATGAAGCGGGTAAATTAGGTCATGCCAGCATTTCTGATCTTTGCAAGGATCTTAGCACTCTGGAAGGTGCAAAATTTGAGGGAGAACTGCAGGAATTTGCCAATCACGCATTCAGCCTGCGTTGTGTTTTAGAATGTCTACAATCAGGCGGAGTTGCTTCTGATGTGAAAGTTGAGGAAGGACTTGATAAGATGAATATGGCTACTCCAAGCAATGATGAACCAGGCTCTCTAACAGCTGAAATATCCTTGTCTGAAAAATTAGGAGACTCTGGGGTTACAGAAGCAGAAATAAATAATGATGATTTATTGAGTTTAGATTTGGAGAAGTCTGCCGAGGCTTCTGTTTCCTATGAAGTCGTTCCTAGTGATGGAACCAGTTCTATTACATTGGAAGGTGATGGCAACGACATACTGGATTCCAGTAATGATGAAAATCTCCAAAACAATGAGAAACTAATGGTTGAAGGGTCAGATGTTGGAACAGAAATGCTAAAGAGGAAAAAAAAATATCGTGTAGATATTCTTCGATGTGAAAGCTTGGCTTCTCTCTCACCAGCAACCCTTGATCGTTTGTTTCTTCGTGACTATGATATAGTTGTGTCCATATTGCCGCTTCCTCATTCATCAGTTCTTCCTGGACCTGGAGGTCCTGTTCATTTTGGTCCTCCCTCGTATTCTTCTATGAGTCCTTGGATGAAATTGGTATTATATTCTACTGTAACAAGTGGGCCTCTGTCAGTTGTTCTGATGAAAGGACAGTGTTTGCGCTTGCTTCCTGCTCCATTGGCTGTCTGTGAGAAAGCTCTCATATGGTCTTGGGATGGTTCCACAGTAGGAGGGTTAGGAGGAAAGCTTGAAGGAAATTTAGTGAAGGGAAGTATACTTTTGCATTGTTTAAATTCACTTCTTAAGCATTCAGCCGTGCTGGTGCTGCCTCTCAGTAAGTTTGATCTTGATAAATCTGGAAAATTGATTACTATGGATGTCCCTTTGCCCTTAAAGAACGCTGATGGCTCAATTGCTCCTGTTGGAAAAGAGTTAGGAATATCCGAAGAGGAAAGTTCAAAGCTGAACTCTCTATTGAGCGATTTGGCAGACACGTTGGAACTGTGGACAGTTGGATACATCCGCTTGCTTAGACTGTTTAATGATAGAGAGCCTGAGCAGTTTTCACCTGAAGAAAAGTATGATTGGGTTCCGTTGAGTGTTGAGTTTGGGATGCCATTATCTAGCCCAACGTTGTGTAATGATATATGTAGAAGGGTTGTGTCATCTGAATTGCTTCAATCTGGATCATTTGGTGAACACCATCATGCGATGCAAAGCTTAAGGAGAAAATTACATGACATTTCTTCAGAGTACCAAGCAACAGGGCCTGCTGCTAAGGTACTTTACCAGAAGGAACAATTTAAGGAATCCTCACGACAGCTTATGAACTATGCTAGTGGAAGATGGAATCCACTTGTGGACCCTTCCTCTCCCATTTCAGGGGCATCAAGTGAGCATCAAAGGTTAAAACTTGCAAATCGACAACGATGCAGAACTGAAGTTTTAAGCTTTGATGGCAGTATTCTTAGGTTTGTATACTTCCAAACCCTCAATTCTTGAAGATTGATGATTTTCTTATCAGATAAATACGTGAATTCCTTTAGCATGTCTCACAAACATGAAATTGGGTTTTCATCATAAATAATTGCCCATCTTCTTTATAATCTAATTTAGTGATGATTTTCTTATACATTCTAAATTTATAGAAGTATATAATTTGCGATTGCACGGTGCTTTTATAAAGATAATGTTTGAATATCTTATGTGTTTATATTTATAGTAGTGCTCGTTTCCTATTCACTTGATGTTAGGATCTTAACTTTGTGCAAAACAAATATAAAATTACTAGAATAATGGTGTAAAACAGACTCAAGTGAATAAAGATAAAGATTTCAAATAGATGAAGTATTTCTTATTTCTGTACTGAGATTGAAATAAAAGATCACAAGGTTGCCAAAAGGAGCACTCTTCTTTTGCCAGATAATCCTGAATGGTTGCCAAAAGGTTAGTGGCGTAGTGATGAAATCTATCCGTACCAGTGGTCACCAATTGAATTGCATGAAGGGAGTCTGAAAAACATTAGAGTTTTTTCAAACCTGCCTGCCAACAAAGTTGAATACCAATTAGAAGGGTTTTTATCTCACCCTGAAGCACATTAGATATTCCCAAGCTACCCTAGAAAGCAAATTGGAGTGATCCCTCATGGTTCATAATCAAACCTCCAAAGTTGGCTTTTCCTAGGTCTGTAAGAGCACTACCTCTACCATCTACATTAAGAACCATAGTCTTAGTGTCTCCATGTTGCTAGGAGATCTCCAGAGAAGGTCAAGGGACATGAGTTGAAGTCATAACATCAAAGGCATTATAGTGGATATCGATTCATTGTAATGAATCACAGCCTAAACTTAGTGTAGTCATCTAATTTTTGTCAAACTTTGTATAGCAACCCTAATCTACTTTCTTTTCTCATTGATTAATGACTGAAAATCTTGAATCATTATGAGGTTTATATTTGGTGCATCAGCTTATATTTTTGCTAGGTCATTTGTTTTTGCTCAAAAATGTCATGTGTTTTACGATTCGAAAAATTGGTTTCCCAATTCAGGTTTCGAAACTGGATTTGATAACTATGTGGATCCACTATTCAACTGTGTGGGATGCATTTCTGTTGTTTCATGTTCCTGTCAGACTGATTCCTCTGCCACCAGTATTATTAGCAGAATTTATAACTGTTTTATTATGCGATCTACGATTGGCATCCTTATTTTTAATTGGAGGTGGTTGTAGTGATCAAAAGTTATATTGACAATATTTTATACAACCTCAACATTATAATAAGAAACCTAGTATGGATCCTTTCCATCCGTATATTATTGATAGTTTTGGTTTCTAATTATTCTAATTCTCAGAAACTATGTACTTTGGTCCATGCAGATCTTATGCCTTAGCTCCTGTTTACGAAGCTGCCACAAGGCCCATTGAAGAAGGCACTCAAGCCAACACGATAAAAGCTGAACCAGATGATAATGATAGCAAAGAAGTAATTCTTCCTGGAGTCAATATTCTTTTTGATGGTTCTGAGTTGCACCCGTTTGACATAGCTGCCTGCCTCCAGGCACGTCAGCCTATTTCCTTAATAGCAGAAGCAGCAGCTGCCTCGGCATCTTTAGCAATCAAATAGTTGTGCAGTTGCTATAGACTACCGCATTGTGATATCAATACATGCATGGCAATGGTTGGGATTTCTAGGTCTAGTTTGTTTTCATCTTCAAGCTTGTTGGTCAAGCTTAGCCCACAAAGTATGGCTAAGATTGAAGGTTAGTTTCAATTTTTGCTTGCATATATTTTACATGTTCAACCTTACAAGTATGCCACAGGTTTACCACTGTCATCCTTGAGACTTATTGGCCCTGTTTTTTCCATTTGAAACAAGGATGAATGAAATGATGCCCTGATGGATATATGCCACAGATTTACCACTGTCATCCTTGAGACTTATTGGCCCTGTTTTTTCCATTTGAAACAAGGATGAATGAAATGATGCCCTGATGGATATATGCCAAAGTTGTTTTTCTTATATGTACTTTGTTCCACAGTTTTTATCCATTCTTGTGCAATCTCCTGCTAAAAAATACAGTACAATCTTGTTTATAAATCAGGTTTCATTTGTTTTGGATTTCACTTGTCCAGGAGATTCAAAACAGTTATTTGTGATCTTCTTGTGAAAAGTGGAAATATGTAATCTTCGTTCAACAATTCTAGAGATATCTATACCACAGGGTTTTTTTGCTCCTGTCATATACTTGCAAGAGATATATACAACAAGGTTTTTTTGTTGCACCTGTCATATACTTGCAGAGAAATGCATATTAAGCAATCCTTAATTCATAGTTAAAGGAGAATATGATCATTTGGTTTACCATTATTGTGTTCCATGTTTAAAGATGTTAATTTCTTGTCTTTAACTATCTCGGTTATTGTTTATACTTTTTATTCACATGTTAATTTAAAATAATAGAGAATTTCTCTTTCCACCTATAGTGAAAAGAATAACCCTACGCAATTCATAAAATGTCCCTTGAAATTGAAAATATATTTTCGGTGCACACCTTTTTCTGTTAAACCTTGACTAGAAATCGGAAATACATTTGCAAAGCGAACCGAAAATGTATTTTTAGTTTTTGTACAGAGCGTACCAGAAAGACTTATATTGACAGTGAATCTTTTTGCGCGTTGTTTCACATTGAATACAAAGATGTATACAACAAAATATATTGCAAAGACATAGAACAAAGACATAAATAGATATCAGTAAATAGTATAAAAGATATCCGTAGTCAATATGGGAGATAATCCAAAATATTATCCAAATACAATAAAAATAATAATAACCAAAATATATACAACAACAAAGACTATTGGGTATGGCGGGCTCTGAGTCGGTCCGTTACCCTCTCGACGTTTCTCCGTTGTCTCTTGTACTGTCTCTACATGCAATTCCTAAAATGTTCCTTAAAACTGAAAATATATTTTTGGTGCGCACCTTTTTCTGTTAATACTTGACTAGCAATCGGAAACACATTTGCAAAGCCAATTGAAAATATATTTCTGGTTTTTGTACATAGTGTACAGAAAGACATATGTTGACAGTGAGTCTTTTTGTGCGTTGTTTCATATTGAATACAAAGACATATACAATAAAACATACTACAAAGACATATAGAACAAAGACATAAATAAATATCAATAAACAATACAAAAGGTACCCGTAGGGATAACCCAAAATATTGTTCAAATATAATGAAAAAACGATAACCAAAATACATATACAACAGCAAAGACTACGGGATATGGCGAACTCTGAGTCTGTCCGCCACCCTCTCGATGTTCCTCCGTTGTCTTCTGTATTACCCCTACACGCAATTCCTAAAATGTCCCTTTTAAACGAAAATATAGTTTCAGTGTACACTTTTTTCTGTTAAACCTTGACTAGAAATCATAAATACATTTGTAAAGTGAATCGAAAATGTATTTCTGATTTTTGTACAGAGCGTATCGGAAAGACTTATGCTGACAATGTGTCTTTTTGTGTGTTGTTTCACATTGAATATAAAGGCGTATACGACATATAGAACATGGACAAATAGATATCAATAAACAGTACAAAAGGTACCCGTAGTCAATATAAGGGATAACCCAAAATATTATCTAAATATAATAAAAAAAAAAGATAACTAAAATTCATATACAACATCAAAGACTACTGGGTATGGCGGGTTCTGAGTCGGTTCGTCACCCTCTCGACGTTCCTCCGCTGTCTCCTATACTACAGAGCTCCCTGAGCCTCCGCCATGATGACATCTAAAACACTTCTAACATCAGAGCCATTAGGAAGCGAATCACCATCAATACCCGCCTGTGCAATGTCTATGATAGGATGACACCTAGGCAACACATATGTGGCATGATCGACTGTAGCCTGCTCCTCCTCTAGAATCTCTTGATGAGCTGGCCTCAGTGGTTTTCTAGAGCATCCTGTACCAGATATGAATGAGATACACATTGAAGAACCATATGCTATAACTGTCCATATAGCTCCAGTCATTTGGAGCAATGGTACTCCGGGCCTCATCTGAAACAAGATGATTCTCATAATCATCAAACAAGGCATCCATATCCTCACGTTTAACCAGGGGAGCAAATACAACAAGATCTCAGAGAATGTACTAGGTGTATCCGAACTGATGTATGACACGCTCAGGCATATAAACAGCCGTCTTGTGCGACCTACAAGCCAACCATCATGTAAACAACGAAACATCGTCAAATGGTATCGTGACACAGTGATCGTGGTATGAATGGAAGTGTGTGTCCTCAAACACCATCCGATCAATATACATTCAGAACGAATCTGTCGTTCGGTTCCCTCAAAGCCGATCGTATGTAGTGGCACACGATTTATTTTCAGTATAATCTAAAGCAAGTGACCAACCCGAGATGCGAGGAAAGTGCGTTAGGATCCAACCCTGAAATAACAATAATTATTAATTAGTAACAGAATCACAATAATTAATAAAACGCCACAAAGACCAATAAATTTTACCCCAGGTACATCTGTGTAAGTGACACTAGTGTCCACAAAAATTTGTGTGCCAACCAGAAACAAAATGTATGCTCTTATAGCAAACCTCCGGTGCAGGGTAACCTGCTTGAGATCATCATGAGTCTCTCGTGCACGCCTTATCTCATTCGTGAACACCGTCTTCAAATAAATGTATCTGACATGGGCAACATGGGTGAAGTTCAACTAAGCCATGACACTCTCAAGGGTAACTCTCAATTTTTCTACCAACATATCCAACGTCTCCTCTTTGTCAATCCTGTCATGGTCTAAAAATATCCCTCTAATCGGAAGATGCAACAGAAATGCAACGCCATCTAGTGTGATCGTCATCTCACCATGTGATAAATGGAATGACGACATCTCATGGTGTCACATATCAATAAAAGTGTTAATCATACCCCAAATCTTTCAACCCTGTAAGCAATTGATCAAATCTTTCAACCATGTAAGCAATAACAACTCATTCATGACTCAAGAGGGGGTTCAAGTTTACTGATCTCCCGTCCATGATTAATGACCTTTAGCGGATCACGTTCCTACGTACATGGTTTGACAAAGTTCATTCAATAAAAATTCGTAATAAAAATGTAATAGAAGGAATAAGTCAAAATTCATACCTCTCCGTTCAATATATGTCTAGCAATATGGTCCGAATACAAAGGCAGTAGAGATAAATCAGATAGTCCTTCTCCAAAACTCTGAGGCATTATAGGTTCCGCTTCAGGTGTAGGATCATGTGCCTGCTTAGGTGCCTGATATGTATGGGGTGCCGGCTCATATGTCGGCCCAGGTGCTTGGGATGTAGGTTGTGGCTGGGCCTCAGACATCGGCTGTGTGACCTCTGGTGTCTGCTGTGTGATCTCTGCCTCTGGTGTCGGCTGGGAACTAGATGCCTCTCCTGCCTCAAATACCATCGATGATGAAGTGTGTCTACGGGAGGATGGGGGCGGGGAGAGATGGACTGAAGGATCTCGCCTGCTGTGGAAGGACGATGAAGTCAGAGTAGAAACAAGAACACTGGAGGTTGAGGTTGTAGTACGCGCATCTGACACAACCTATCCAGAGGCAGAAGGAGCCTGTAATGTCTGACTCTTTTTCCTCCGCACATAAGCATGATGTGCAAGCCTTCTGTGCCTCGACCTAGATGTTCTCTCAGCCATTACTCCTGTAGAAGTACAAAACAAACGTTAACACAAAGACTATTGTTCAAAATTATGGGAAAAATAGAAACATACTAAAGTCGGAAATGCATTTCGGATTTTCTTCAACCTTAAACTGAAAATCGAAAATGTATTTCTAATACGATCTACAATTTCAAAGCTTTGTCAATGGCAAAACAGAGCCACAAATGACCTCAAATTAATGGCCATTGATCATAAAAAAGATATTTCAAACATGTTTCTTATGACTCACTAACATTGAAAACGCTAAACAACTCACATTTTCCATCCTAAATCACAATTTGTAGTTTAAATTACATAAACTCCAAAAAATCCAAAAACAACTTACAATTGATGATTTTTCTTGATTGAATGTGGTTTAAAATTGACTGTCAGATCCCGGATGTCCTAAGAGATGTCGAGATACCAGATCCGACTTCAACACACAACAAGATATACGAACAAAATAAACGGTGCTGAAAATAAAGAACACACGCACACACATATTATCCATTTCAGAATAATTTTCCTACTTTAGGGGCTATCAAGTCAGAGACGAAATTAACTAGATAGTATCAAGGTTTAAATGCAATTTTAGTCCCCTATATTGATTTTTCTAATTTTTTAGTCCCCTTTAAAAAAACCAATTATTTGATCACTCTTTATCATATTTTATGTTTTTTGTGGTCTCCTCCGCATGGTAGTCAAAACTGTAACATGGCACGTTGAAATTGTCCCATTTTATTAAACTTTTTTGCCACATCATTAAATGCAATCCAAAAAAACTTAAATGAAATTATCATGACTTTAAAATTGTATATTTTTTTGAAAGAATAAATAATTAATTTTTATTATAATCTTCATCATTTATCATTCAACTCCATCCCCTTCGGTACA